GCACGGTGTCCTGAACCGACCCCGGAGGCCGACCCTCGCCGCTGACTCACCTGCCCAGCAAGTGAACTTGACTCTCGGCGAGGAGCCCGGCCTCGCCTTCACCTCCGGGCAGAGCAGCGACTCCCGCGAGGTTCGCACCGACCTGGTCGCCTGCAAAATGCCCTTTGCCTTCGTGGGATCGTGGGGGACACGGGGCCCCGACCTGACTGTGGTGTAGGAGCTCCAAGGAAAGCCCCCCCCCGCCCCCTGCGGGGCTTTGGGCTTCCCGTTAGGAACCACCTGCTCAGGGGGGCGTCCACCCCCGGGGGTGCAAGGCCTGAGCTCGGGCTGTCTGGTTGGAGAGCAGGAACCACTGACGGAGGTGCCCGTGTCCTGGAGGGTGAACCTCCGCAGGAAACCAAGCCACGCTGTCTCCCCTCTGCCGCGCCGGCCTCCCGGTCCACCTGCCGGGAGAGGCCGCCCATGGCTTCCACCGCAGCCTGCCTTGCTCCTGAAGTCTAGTCTACATTTTGCAGAATCATCCTTCGAAACAGAAAAACCGTTTGCTCTCCTACCTCGGTCTCTTCCCTCCGCACAAACACCCACCCCCGTACTTCCGCTTCACTGAACCGGTCCCCGCCCCCCCAATTCCTGGGGACCCGGTGCACAGTCGGGCTTCACCCGCAGGCATTTGCTGAGCTACACTGTGCAGCGCTCTTGGCTCCTGGAAGCTCCGTGTCCCGCCATGGCTGGGGACCCACGCCCCACACACCCCTGTGTCACAGGGGCTGAAACTGCCCTTTATGATACCCTCCTGGGTCCGGAACCTCGTCCGCCCTGCTCTCCGCTGCAGCCGAGTGCCTAACACAGGGCTCGGCACATTCAGGCGCTCAAAATATTCAACCAGTGAATTAGAGAGGAGCTCTCATGAGAGGCAAGAGCTCTGAACATGGCGAAGTACTTTAAACCATCAGTTTGACTGGAGAACAAACTAGAAACAGGCATGGGTCCATGGAACAGACTGACGGCTGTCGGGGGGAGTGAGGAGGGGGACTGGATGAGAGAAGGTAAAGGGACCAGCCAGAGAACATACATGCACAACCCGTGGACAACTGGTGATGGGCCCGGCCGGTATGTCTCAGTGGTTGAGCATCAACCTCTGAACCAGGAGGTCACGGTTCAAGTCCCAGTCAGGGCACAGGCCCGGGTTGCAGGCTCCATCCCAGTGTGGGGCGTGCAGAAGGCAGCCAATCAGTGATTCTCTCTCATCATTGATGTTTCTATCTGTCATCAGTGATTTCTCATCATTGATGTTTCTATCTGTCTCTCTCCCTTCCTCTCTGAAATCAATTAAAATATTTTTTAATATATATATTTTTTTTAAAAAAGAAAAGTAACTGACACATAGTAACATTAAACAGCATTTGTTATATAAACATCTGCTGGAGGCACCTGAGGCAGGTCCTGCTGAGGCCTCTCTGTGTAGCAGGTCCTGGAAGTCAGCACAGAGCAGTCTGCTCTAGATGTGGGGGGGGCGCTGACCCCACACACTCCAGTATTCACATATAACTATTGACTCCCCCAGAACTTTACTAACAGCCTGCTGTTGACTGCAGGCCTTACCGATGCCATAAACAGCCATGAACACATTTTGGATGCTGTATGCATTGTAAACTGGGTTCTTACAAGAAAGTAAGCTAGAGAAAAGGAACTGTTACTAAGAAAATCATAAGGAAGAGAAAATGCATTTCCAGTTCTGCAGATATTTATTGAAAAAAAATCGGAGTGTCAGTGGACCCACGCAGTTCAAACCTGTGTAGTTCAAGGGTCCGCTGTGGTGGGGTCTCCTCTGCCTCACTCAGCACTGCTGCCCGCACGGCCCTTCCGTAAGGAGGTCACATGGTTGTGCTGACCGCAGAGTGGGACCTCGGTCCTGCAGTTCCGCTAGGAAAGAATTCAGAGCCAGGAACTCAGGTGCCAGGAGCTTCTCCAGAAAGTCACAGACGGTGGAGAAGTGAGCCAGCTGGGCTGCATGGACTCAGGAAACCAGTTACAGAGGCAAAGAAGGGCCCTCGGCCACAAAAAGGAAGAAAATTTTACCCTTTCGACAGCGACAGCATGGAGGGACCTGGAGAACATTATGCTGAGTGAACTAAGCCAGTCAGAGAAAGACAAGTGCCATATGATTGCACTCATATGCGGAATTTAATGAACAAACTGAATTAACAAGCAAAATAGAGACGGGCTCATAGAGATCAAGCAGACAGCTCTGGGGGGAGGGGGTGGAGTGATTGAGCAAAAAAAAGAAAAAAAAGGAAGAATTCATGGACACAGTCAACAGTGTGGTGATTGGGGGGGGGGCTGGGTGGATGTGGAAGAGGATATGGGGGCGCTAAATGGTGATGGGAAAATAAAGGGGGGAAATGTCTGAATAAAATGCTTCCACCGTGCACTCAAAACACACACACAGCCCTGGCCGTTGTGGCTCAGTGGATAGAGCATCAGCCTGGGGACCGACGAGTCCCGGGTTCGATTCTGGTCAAGGGCACGTACCTTGGTTGCAGGCTCCTTGGGCCCTGGCCCTGGTGCGGAGGCAAGCAATCGATGTGTTTCTCTCACATCAATGTTTCTCTCTGTCTTTCCCTCTCTCTTACACACACACACACACACACACACACACACACACACACACACACACACGGCACTTGGAGCTTAGGAGGAAGAAGCAAAGGTAAAGCCTGAGGAAAGGGGGAGGGAGTGGGTACCTCGCCTCAAGGGATTTTGTTTTCTAGCCTTTCTTAGGGAAGAATCTCCATAGGGTACTCATCAGCTTCCCAGGTCTGCCCTTTCAGGGCGGAGGTCCCTACAGAT